GAAGCGGATCCATTTTGTGCCGTTCGTCTCTAATCGTAACCGGGAACCTCTGTTTCAGACATTTACTGAGGGGCACCCCTACCACATCAAGGCGTAGGTCACCGCAGCTTATCTACGAGCCCTAGGGGTCGCCATCGCTCGCAGAGGAAGTGTTGGTCTCTCCATCGGCCCAGCCGCCCGCCCCGCCACTCCCCCTTCCTGGCAGAATGAGGCGCGCAGCCCCCGTCGGTCAGGACCCAATCACGTGCCGAGGCAAGGTCATCGTTGACTCGGATGGCAACCGTATCGGCTACGTCAAGTTCCTCGAGGTGATGCTCGAGCAGCTCGTTGCAGCAGGAGTGCGAGTGACCACAGGCCAGCCTGTGACATCCATTGAGAGCGGTGTTGTGTCCTTTGCCACACGGCCGCCGATTGCAGCGGAACTCGTGATTCTCGCGGTCCCGCAGTACCCGCTCCTAGAAATTCTTCGCGCCTCGCCATCATTCGGCGTGAGCGAGAGCGTCTACCGCGCCGTCCATGCTGTTCAGCCAGTGCACGCTGTCAAGTTCTACCTGTACTACGAGGACGCATGGTGGATCACCTTGCTCAACCAGACCGAGGGCTCGTTCACGGCGCCGGGAAACGCCGTCTCCCCGCCGCTCGAGGGACGGTGCAAGCTCAGCCAGGGGAGGGGAAAGTCTTTGTTGAGCAACTGACCCGCAGACTTCATCGCTTCTGAGCAATGTCCTAGGTACCACGACGGCGATGTCAAGTGCAACGCCGACAAGACAACCTGTCACGGATTCTTGCAGACGCAGTACTTTTGGGTGCGCTCGGCTAAAGCCAGTCTTCGCCCATTGTGTTTCTGACGCACGGCCCTCCCAACTCCCTCGCAGGACTTCACCGGCAACACGCAGAGCTACTTCGGCCGCTTCCAGAAGGAGCGAAGCGAGGTTGTGACCTACATGAGCGAGTTGACCGACGGCGCTGTGGCCCTGGCGGACGTGCACGCAAAGGTGTGCGAGTACCACAACCTCGACCCGTCTCAAATTGCGGCACCCACCGAGGGTGTGTTGGCGACTTGGAACATGGCATCGCCGTGGGCCAATGCGGGCTGGCACTACTGGACAGACGCCAACCAGCTCCCGGTGCTCGAGAGCTTCCTCGTCGACCAGAACATCCACCTGGTGAATGAGGCCTTCTCACCCGTACCGTCGTGGGCGGAGGGCGCCATCGTGCTCGCCGACCAGCTCTTGGAGGGCCTCTACGGCATCACACCGCCGCATGCTCCGCTCGAGTACTCGGCTCGCAGCTACGTCAGCGAGGACTGGGATGACGCGCCGCAGTCTATGGCGCGCATGATCTGCGAGAACACCTGCACGAAAGACGGGGAAGACAGGGGCCTTGCCTCGATCTTCGCCTCCAACGGGATGTGCTCCGACGGGGTTGACGGCTATCAAGCGGTGTGCGATCCCGGAACTGATTGCGATGATTGCGGCGCGCGGCCCGCGAGCGGCGGCTCGGGAGGGGACGTAGCCGAGGACCCCGCGTGCTTCTTCGGGGACTCGCGCCTCCTCCTTGCCAACGGCAGTCGGATTGCGCTCTCAATGGCTGAGGTACCCGATCGCACCCGCGCGCATGTTTTCCGCTAGCTTTGGTCCGCGCCAACCACATCCTCCGCCCCCGTCCCACCAGGTGGGCATGCGTGTCGCCTCGCGCCTCGGCGTGGGTAGCATCTCCCAGGTCCTCCGCCATCCGGTCCACGCGACGGTGCGGCGGTTCCGGCTGCCGACCGAGCACGGACCCCTGTACGGCACGCTCGACCACCCGCTCCACCTCAACGGCTCATGGATCGAGGCCGGCGAGGCGCACCGCCGCGATTTGCTGCCGGGCCTTGAGGTGGATCGTGAGCCGGTGGACTACCTCTGGAACCTCGAGGTGGACGGCAAGGCCGAGGCGGGAGGCAGCGCGCATGCTTACGACGTCAATGGCCTGACCGCGTCTGGCTTGGGCGATAGCGAGAGGCTCAATCGCCTCTACCCCCGCCAGCAAGTCTTCATCCAGGCGGCGTCAGCGACGCGCAAGGCGGCGCCGACGCCATCCCCATCCGCCATGCTGCTCCCGGATCGTGGCGCCGGCGCTGTGCCCTCGGGTGCAGACACACTCGGTCCTTCCCTTGGCGCCTCCAGCGCCATCGGCCTACTCCCGTCGAACTGCCCAGTCTGGGACGCAATGGCAGAGGGCTCGCAGACGTGCGGCGACAAGGTGCTGTGGTGGGCTGACGCATACGGCTACGACATGGAGCGTGCCGAGCTTGCGGTCTCGCGGCGCTTCCGCGCGTGCAAAGCGTGTGCGCCCCCTCCCGAGGCGAGCTCTCTTGCGCGTGCTTCGCGCAAACTAGAAGAAACCACCCTACCCTCCGACCCCTCGTCTCCATCAACGGGGTGCGGTCTCGCCTCGCTCTGCCCGCCATCACCGCCGCCATCACCGCCGCCGAAGCCGCCACCGACGCCGGAGCCGACAGCGCCAGAATCGTGTGGGTCGCTCTGCAGCGCGGACGACGAGGAAGAGGAGTGCGGCTCGCTCTGCCGGGACGACAACGAGGAGTGCGGCTCGCTCTGCGCTGACGACGAGGAAGAGGAGTGCGGCTCGCTCTGCGCTGACGACGAGGAAGAGGAGTGCGGCTCGCTCTGCGCTGACGACGAGGAAGAGGAGTGCGGCTCGCTCTGCGCTGACGACGAGGAAGAGGAGTGCGGCTCGCTCTGCGCTGACGACGAGGAAGAGGAGTGCGGCTCGCTCTGCGCTGACGACGAGGAAGAGGAGTGCGGCTCGCTCTGCGCTGACGACGAGGAAGAGGAGTGCGGCTCGCTCTGCGCTGACGACGAGGAAGAGGTTTGCAGCGCGCTGTGCGCGCCCCCGCCCTCGCCCCCTCCGCCACCGTCGTCGCCCCCTCCGCCGCCGTCGTCGCCCCCTCCGCCGTCGCCGCCATCGTCGCCACCGCCGTCGCCACCGTCGCCACCGTCGCCACCGCCGTCGGTGCCCACCCCGGAGCCCTCCCCGGCACCCGGACGAGGCGAGCCGTGCGACCCCGCGAGTGGCTGCGCAGACGGCCTCGAGTGCACCTGCGCGCCGAAATTGCGGCGGATGCCGCTCTTCGCTTCGGTTCCGATTGCGTGCGTGTGCGCATGATGCGATGACTCACGCCCCCGTGGTCGCACATGCTCCTCCTGCGCTGGTCTGTTCTTCGGCGCGAGTACACTTCTCATCACCAGCTCGTCCCAACGAGCAAGGGGTTCTTCTGGGTCCGGCCTACGGTAGTCGTAGCGCCCCGTCGGAGGCTGCCGACGCCTCGCTGCCGACGCTCTGCGGGACAACTCTCTCCCTCAGTGCTGTCTCCACTCAACATGAGCATCGGTCTTCCCTAGCCTGTGCCTGTACACTCTCACCACAATAGAAGAGATGTCGCCACCCGTGCGATGATCTAATGCGCTCAGCGCCTCCCCGTACCCCAGGGAGTGCGTTAAGCGTCTCGTCTCGCTCGACTCTCCAGTGTGACTGCTATTCATTTGTACCATTCAATTACGGTGTATATTGAGTCAATAATTGTAATTGAGTCTGAGCCTGAGCTTGGCTCGATGGACGATGCTGCTTGCTGCTCGCTCGGCAGCAGCCGTGGCGCCAGCGCGCAGCGGCAGCGCGGCTATCGTGAGACATGGGCGATCGGGCGCGGGCAGCGGGGGCGACGGCCGAAACTGACGCAAAGGCCTCGAGCTACGAGCAGAACGAGCCAGAGGCGAGTACAGCCTAAGGCTGCCAGAGCCTGCACTCCGCTCCACATCCGACATCCGCTATCTCTAACTCTATCCGCATGCGCATTCGAGCGTGAAGTTGTACAAAGAATGTTACACCAGAGCGGCAACCACCCGTCGCGTCACCTCGACACGCGCGTCACTGTCAGATCAAAGCGTCACGGCTCGCGCTACTAGGTTCGCTCACATATACCTGGCGTCCCCTTGCAGCCCGGGGTGCCCGCCCTGGAGTGACTGTCAAGGCTAGAAGGCGGAGACGCCACCCGCCACCCCCCTCTCGATCGCCAGCTCTCCTATGTGGTGGCGCTGTGTACGGTGTGAAGTGTACATTGTGCGCCCGTCTCCTGCGGTGAATTTCGGGTCATTCCAGCCGAAGACAGAGGCGCGGAGACGAGAGGGAGGATGCACCGGAGTCTAGGCGAAGGAGGCGTGCATCTTGGCAAAGTCCGACTCGTCGGAAGGCATGCCGTACTCCCACTCGAACGACTTGGACGGAGCCTCGCGGGTTGCCTCAAGGTGCGCCAGGGCACGCCCCATCGAGAAGCGTGGGACCGCCTGCGGTCACGTGGTGTGCGGGAGGTCCGATGTTGAGTAGAGACGTTGCCTTCTCGTGCAGCGAGACGCCCCTCGGGCCAGAGGTGGGAGTCAGAGGCGTGGCTACTACTACGTGGACAAGGGGGGACGGAGAGGGGGGGGGTTTAAAACGGGGGGTGAAGGGGGGTATTTGGGGGGGGAAGGGGGGGGAGGGGGATGCTAGGGCGGCACCTCGACGAGCTCCTTCGCGAGAGTGTCGTGGTCGCTGTGGTCGGCCTGCGGGCCATTTGCGGCGAGGCGGCGGCGGCGGCTCGCTGCCGCTGCAACGCGCACCGCCTTCCACTCGTTCACAGAGAGGAACTTGTCGGTCACGCGCGCGTCGCGGTCCGAGCACACGAGCTTCATTCGCCGCGCCTCCTCCGCGTAGACGTCTACCGCGCGGAAGAGGTGGGTGCGGTGGAAGTCGAGCTTGGTGATGTTTGGACCGACGCCGTACTCGGAGGGCTCCTCGCCACGCCAGCCCCAGTTGTAGTTGAAGTGGTCGTAGCCGACCACGGTCTTGAAGAAGTCGGAGGACGAGCGGCCGATGTTTTCAGAGAGGCCGTGGAACTCAGGCATCATGTGCGAGAGAATGTAGGCGCCGAAGTAGGGCGTGTCATGCACCTGCGTCATGAACACGCTAAAGTCAGGGTGTTAATCAGACACGGTCCGGCTTCTAGGAGCGCGCACCTCCCAATTGATCTTGACGATGCCTGCCGCCTCGCAGGTTGCGAATGCGTCCACCATGAGGTCCCACTTGTCGTGCTGCAGCGTGCGCAGGGCGTGGATCCACGAGGTCGGGTCGGAGAACGGCTTCTCCATGATGGTGTTCATCACCTGAATCTGGCCGAAGAGCTGCATGTGCGAGTAGAGCCTATTCACAACAGTCTCACGTTTCCGGGGGACGACAGAGCTCCCCCGTCGCCACTCCCCCCCCGGACACCCGTTGGCGATGGAGAGGATCGTGCGGAAGACACCGCTGGCTGCTGTCGTTGCCTCGGGCGTGTCGAGCAGGAACATGATGCCAGCTCGCATCCGGGCGGAGTAGATCTTCGTGTTCGCCATCGCCCAGCCGTAGCACTTGACGTCGCCGAGCGTGTGGTCCGACGGCGCAAAGGCCGGAAAGTAGTAGACGCCGTCGCACAGGCACTTGTCCTGCGGGGTCACGCACTCCTTGTAGCGGCCGATCGGATTGCCGAGCACGACGTTCGTCTGGAACCACGGCGAGTTCTTGCTCGTCGACGCGGGCGTGTAGAGGACGCCGTCGTCGCCCGCCTCGGTAGGGAGGGTGGTTTTGGTCGGCGACCAGCCGCGCTGCGAGATGGTGATGGTGGGGTCGTTGCACGTGCCCGCGGCGTAGCAGGTGCAGTTCTCGCCCGCGTAGAAGCTCGATGCGCGCCGGTTCGCCCAGTTGATGGCCTGCGTCCAGTCGTACCTAGCGGCAGGTTGCCCGGACTGCGTCAGGCGTTGCCCGGTCTATGCACTGGCTCAAGGCGTGGTGCACGCCCGTATGCCGGAGCCTCCAGGAAGGCGTACATGTCGCGGTTGCAGGTCGTCTGCGCCATCTCGAGCACCTTGATCGCGATCAGCGCGACGATGCCCATCTCGGCGCCGTAGGTTGGGTAGGCTGTGAAGACGTCCATGTCGAGCGTCGAGCCGAAGTACTTGATGAACTTCTTCCACGTCACAAACAGCTCCTGTGGGGGGGGGGGGGGGGGCTTGCCTTCCCCGGCGTGAAAATTGGGATGGAAGCGAACGTCCTGTCCGTTAGGGGTGCCTCCCCCCCCCTTCGCAAAGGTAAGGAAGGGGACGACCCTCCCTCCCCCGCGTGGGGGATTTCCCCCCCAAGGGGGGGCGACCCCCCCCCCCCAAATGGGGGGG